GGGATTCCTTCCTCCATCATTTCATCCTGTCTCCATCTCTACCCTCAGAGCCACTAAACAATAAGTTAATTAACTAGAGTGAGGGCAAGAGCTGGAGGGTGCAGCGCTGCCTCCGGTCAGAGTGATGGGAAGTGATTGGTGCATGGCTTCTTCATCAGCCCATCTGGATTCACATCCCTGCCTTGCTGCTCACTGACTCCATTTCCAGAACAAGCTATCTCTCTTCTGTGTGCTTTCATTTTTTTCTGATTTGCTATGGATGATAATAATACCCAGCTCTTCAAGTTGTGATCAGAAGCAGCACACATAAAGTGTCCAAGGAAATAAACTCTGGCAAGCATTGCTCTCATCAAGTGCAAGTGAAGGAAAAAATGTAGGTGGACATAATGCCTACAGCAAGAGTGATGTATTCTTAATCATTTGGCTTGGGTTCCCATTGTGAGAATCAGGTGGAAACTCAGCCAGTGCAGAAGCTCCTGGTCGTGGGGAAGCGCTAGCAACAAGGTGATGAGGGGATTCTGACATTATTCCAAGTAAGTCACAAGTTTACTCTTCTACTGCCACATGTCCTCAGTAGTGCTCATAATCAACCAGTTGCTGGTGGCTCTCAGCTGTAATCCTGTTTAGGAAGCTGAGATCTGAGGGTTGTAATGTAAAGCCAGCTCAGGCAGGAAAGTTGATGAGTCTAGCCACCAAAAAGCTAGAAGAGCTGTGGCTTAAGTGATAGAGCATCAGCCTCCAGTGAAAAAGATAAGAGACAGTGCCCAGGCCCTCAGTTCAAGCCTAAAGAATTCCTGTATCCCTCTCACTTATATTAACAAATTATTGATATTTGCCACTTCTTTCATTACATAGTTTCTTTGTATATGAAATTAGGTTTATTCTCAGCTCTTGGAGAGTGGATAGCATATGCTATCACTTCACATTTCAATGGAAATTCCTTTATACAAAAGGAAAATCCAACTCATGTGTACATTATGCTGTTTGCGCGCACACTCGCGCACGTGCGTGCGCATACACTATTTCTAGGGCTTGAATAAAGGCCTAGGTGCTATCTTTGAGGGGTTTTGCTCAAAGATAACATTCTACCACTTTAGCCACAGCCCCATTTGCATCTCTCTTTTTGTGGGGAGGGTGATTAATTGCTAATAAGAGTCACGCACATTTGTCTAAACTGGCTGTGAACTGTGATTCCTACATCTCAGCCTCCTGAGTAACTAGGACTACAGGTGTGAGCCACAGGTGCCAGCATTAAATAGTTAACTTTTAAAGAAAAAAAAATCATGTCCTCTGTGGGAGAAGTAGTAATGATGTAAGGAAAATAGAAGAAGACAAAAAAGAGAGTCTGGACAAACAGGAAGATGGCTATCCACCGAACCTTACCTTGGAGCTCACTGTATCTCAGCACTGTCTTACATAGCAGTCACTCCTGTGGTTTCTCAACTCACCCACCCAGATTCCTCCTTAACTGCACTCCTCATCCAGAGATCCTCTATAGCTCATTTGTTTCAGTTCTGGGAGTCTCGGCCATGTTCATGCATTCCCCATATCTGCTGAGTACACAAGGCCACATTCCCATAGTCCCTCACCTTCTCCTTCTGGGGCCAGAACCCCTCCCTGAGCTTGTACTTGAAGGCTGGTTGTTTTGGGGACTGAGGGAAAGCGACTAGAGAGGCCACAGACCTTCCTGGGATGGACTGCATCATCCATGAGGAAACTTTCAATAAAGTAACAATAATATTTAAATCAATGTTGCAGTTTCCTTTTGTATAGAGGAGTTTCCATAGAAATGTAAAGTGATAAAAAGGAATTACACGTGCCGTCTACTCTCCAGGAGCTTAGAATAGTCCTAATTTCATATACAAAGAACAGATGAAACAAAAATGGGGCAAATGTTAATAATTTATTAATATAAGTAAGAGGGATGTAAGAATTCTTTTGACTAATCTTGGAAATTTCCTGATGTTTTCAGTTTTTACATTAAAAATATAAATACAATGAAGTCATACAATGAATAAATACAATGAAAGCAATATTAAAGAAATACTCATTTCTCCTTCAACATTTCAATTCTCAGTCAGTGATTGTAACTATGGGTGGAATCTTACCACAAAGAGAAATTAATTAATTTTTTATTGCTTTATTATCTCCACACTCTTTGCCCTCAAGCAGGAAGGCAGAGGCATCATGGGAGACTTTATCATACCCCACATCCCTGCTGTCCTTGCTGCTCTGCAGTCTTAGGCAGGAAAAGCAGAGGAAGAGGAGCTGTTGGAAGGTGCTGTGCCTGACAGAGCAAGGACAGGGAAGAAACGTCCACTTGCCTTCACATGACAGTCCACCAGGGTGAACTTTTATACACTGCATCAAATCACACTCCAGCTAGACAGCAACTGGCCATGGCCAACCAAAGCTCTCCAGTGGGCTTCCTCCTTCTGGGCTTCTCAGAACACCCACGCCTAGAAAAGATTCTCTTCGTGGTTGTCCTGTTTTCCTACCTCCTCACTCTGACGGGCAATACACTCATCATCCTGCTGTCCTCGCTGGACCCCAGGCTCCGCTCTCCAATGTACTTCTTCCTCTCCAACCTCTCTTTCTTAGACCTCTGCTTCACCACAAGTTGTGTCCCCCAGATGTTGGTCAACCTCTGGGGTCCCCAAAAGACCATCAGCTTCCTGGGGTGCTCTGTCCAGCTCTTCATCTTCCTGTCCCTCGGGACCTCTGAATGCATCCTGCTGGCGGTGATGGCCTTTGACCGCTATGTGGCTGTGTGCCAACCCCTGCACTATGCCACCATCGTCCACCCCCGCCTGTGCCGGCAGCTGGCAGCGGTGGCCTGGGTCATTGGGCTGGTGGAGTCCATAGTCCAGATACCACCCACCCTCCGCCTGCCCTTCTGTCCCCACCATGAGGTGGATGACTTTGTCTGCGAGGTGCCAGCTCTCATTAGACTCTCCTGCGGGGACACCACCTACAATGAAATCCAGATGGCCGTGGCCAGTGTCCTCCTCTTGGTTGTACCTCTCAGTCTCATCCTTGTCTCTTATGGGGCCATTGTCTGGGCAGTTTTGAGGATTAACTCTGCAGAAGGGCGGAGGAAAGCCTTTGGGACCTGCTCTTCCCATCTTCTTGTGGTCACCCTCTTCTACAGCTCAGCCATTGCTGTCTACCTGCAGCCCAAAAATCCCTATGCCCAAGAGAGGGGCAAGTTCTTTGGTCTCTTCTATGCTGTGGGCACTCCCTGTCTTAATCCTCTCATCTACACGCTGAGGAACAAGGAAGTGAAGAGGGCATTCTGGAGATTGCTAGGGAAGGAAATGGAGCCCAGATAGAACTGACAGCCACTTAGTTGGCTTATAATTTAGGTATATTCTGCATGCCTTTTCAGGAAGTCTGAGATCTGGACCTCTCTGGCTTCTTCACACCTGTCATGCTACAGTAACAGATGACAGGTGTGTGTGTGTGTGAGAGAGAGAGAGAGAAAGAGAGATGGAGAATGGAAATGTAAGAGGGACATCAGTATTTTATGTGAAACATCATCACCAGAATCAAATGTAATATTCTCTTTTCTCTATTTTACCAATTCACCTCCATAATCACTTTCCTAATGTAATCATTTCCATTTCTAATTCTTTGTCATGTTGTATTGTCTTCAATTCCAATTTTAATTCCTCCTCTATTTTGAGTTTCTTCCCATGTACATGTATGGTTTGCATTCTCATTCTATTTTATCCCCCCAAATGTCAATGAAAAAGGAGGAAAAACTGAAGCCTAATAAATTTAGAACCAGCATTAACTTGTGTGCCTAAATCTATGTCCCATGAATTCTATGTCAAACAACTCCCAAACATACTGTGTTACTTTCATACCATAATCAAATATCTAGGAATCCTTCAGCTTGAAGCTAGATCCTTGAAGATAAACCTTAACTTCAGTGTTTGTATTGCTTCTCTTTAAAATGCCTATCACCAGCTAGAAAGGAAACCTTTTGCGTATTTATAACAGATGTGCTATCGAGGCAGGCTTTTGTGTCATCTACTGGCCAAATGAGGAATTGCACTGTCATACCATGCTCTTGATGGCTCAGGGAGGTATTATTACTGCTATTATAAAGTCTCTATACAGTGTTATGATATTCTAGGTACCATTCAAAGCAACATAGGCCAGGTACTGGTAGATCACATCTGTAATACTAACTACTCAGAAGGCTGAGATCTGAGAATTGCAGTTTGAAGCCAGCCTGGACAGAAAGTCCTGGAGACTCTGATCTAGAACCACCTAAAAGGAGGAAGTGGAGCTGTGGCTCAAGTGGTAATGCTAGCAAAAAAAAAAAAAAAAATCCAGGCCCTGAGTTCAAGTCCCAGGACTGGAACCAAAAAAGGAATAATAACAATGTAAAATAATAAATAATTGAACCAGGAACTATGGCTCACAACTGTAATCCTAGCTAGTCAGGAGGATGAGATCTGAGAATTATGGATCAAAGCCAGCCTAGGCAGGAAAGTCTATGAAACTCTTATTCCCCAATTAACCACCAGAAACCCAGAAGTGGAGCTATGACTCAACGTGGTAGGGTGCTAACCTTGAGCAAAAGAGCTCAGGAACAGTACTCTGACTCAAAGTTCAAGCCCCACAACTGACCAAAAAGGAAAAGTCTGGTTTTCTTACCAGCATAAAATGGCTCTGATTCAACATTTACCCTCTATCAGCTAAGAGCAATCCTCATCCTAATCTTCATGAGAGCCATTTATATGCTCTTCTTATTATCTTGTCTGCCTTGTTATTAGATTGTATCCTAATCTTAATGTACTCACTCAATAATCCTAATCACAGACCTGCAGGTAAAGCTAATCTTAATGCTACTTTTTAAATCTCTTATATAATATGGTTTTTCTCATGATCACCACTATTCTTCCTCTTTCCAGGATCTGGGAACCCTATCTATGATTGTTCTATCGGTAGAAGCCCTAATGTTTGGAAACAGTAAAATTGTTTCTAAATGGATTCTAAGGGAAATAGAACTGACAAATAAGGGAAGCCATTTGAAGGAATATTTCCCAATGAAATCTGCTTTGTCCAATACATGTTTTGACATAGGCTTTAGGACTAGTGCTGTTTTATTCCAAAACTATTCAGCCTCCATCTAGACAGTTATCTACTGGACACACAAATATCTACTGGATTGTGGAAAGAAAGTCCAACATAACAGTCAGGGGTTGTCAAAGACATATTTCCAGTCTACGTGGAAGTTTGATCAGAGTTGGATGCCAATAAGGGATCAAAGGCTGGAGGAGAGTGATGGGAATTTTTTCCTAGAGATTTTAACCATCGCACAGAGTACATAATTAGTTTGAAATATTTGCTGATTTGCCGTGGGGAACAGACTAAAGGCAGGACTGTGCATGGTTACATTAAAATAGAGAAATATGAAGGAAGCAGTTACACCAAGGAGCAAAAGGTATATACATTATACACACACACACACACACACACACACAAACATATACATATACAAGGGCTTGGAATATGGCTTAGTGGAAGAGTGCTTGCCTAGCATGCATGAAGCCCTGGGTTCGATTCCTCAGTACTACATAAACAGAAAAGGCTGAAAATGGCACTGTGGCTCAAGTGGTTAAGTGTTATCATTGAGCAAAAACCTCAGGGTCAGTGCCCAGGCCCTGAGTACAAGCCCCAGGACTGGTAAATATATATGCTACAAAACTGGATACAATGGGAAAGGTACAGGGCCACTCTTACAGATGTTTCAAGTTTGCAAGCTTCAGGTCTTGTGAGAGCAGACACTCAGCTATGTACCTAATATAACACTTGAGTCAAAGGGACTTTATTCAAGAAGCTGAGGGGTTTAGTTGTCCATCCAATTCCAGTCACTAGTTCTGTTGTTTTGGTTTGGCTTTTTTTTGGGGGGGGTGGGGGGCGTGCACACACACATACCTGTACTAGGGCTTAAGCTTTTATACTCAAAGCTTGTGCTCTATCACTTGAGCCACAGCTTCACTTGCAGCTTTTTGATGGCTAATTGGAGATAAATGTCTCACAGACTTTCCTGCCTGGACTAGCTTTGAACCACAATTCTCAGATCTCAGCCTTCCCAGTACTTAGGATTATAGGGGTGAGCCTATTAGTCTATTTCTTCTATTAGTCTGTTTCTTCGGACTTACTGAATCAGTAATACAGACCGAAGCACAGAGCCTAGCTCCCTAGCCCCCTACAAAGCCAGGCTTCCAGGCTTCCCAAATGTACCCTGTGCAGAATTAGTCTCTCCCTCTTAAAGAGGGCCAGAATTGCTAGCTCAAAATATGCCTCTTTAACATAAGGATTATTTTGAGCTGAATGTCACTGGCAACCAACACACCTGGGAGAAGGCTCTCAACACAGGGAACAAGTTTTCCTTTAGTAAAAGAAATTTACATTTGCAAAGGTGTAATTTTTTACCAATGAAGAAGGCACCCATTTATGTTCAAATATTATGTTCAGATTATTCACCACTCTTTTCCTGTTTACCTTCCCATAATCTCTCCTCCCATCATCCACCCAGAAATATAAAACGCTTCTCCTTTGTATAGCCCAAGGTGTTTTTGTTGTTGGTGGTGGTGGTGGTTTTGTTTGTGTGCCAGTACTGGGATTTGAACCCAGGGTCTGGGTGCTCTCCCTTAGCTTTCTCCCTCAAGGCTGTGCTTTCCCACTTGAAACACACTGCCAATTCTGGCTTTTTTTTGTCGTTCACTAGAGATAAGAGTCTCATGGACTGTCTGGGCTAGCTTCAAACCCAGATCCTCAGATCTCAGCCTGCTGAGTAGCTAGGATTACAGGCGTGAGCCACTGGTGCCCAGCCCAAGATGGTGTAATCAATCCTAACCCACCCTTTGGACATTCATCAGTAGCCCAGTGTACACATTAATAAACATGCTTCTATTTACGTTTCTCATTGGACTGATATCTACCTGTATAAATTTATAGGACTTCTCATCTAGAGGAAAAGGTGTTTCCCCTCTTCTGCACATGTATGGTGCATGGGTGTTGCTCCCCCATCTCTCTGGCTTTGCGGAACCAAGATGCCTGCCAATGTCTGCAGGCCCCACCTGCGTCCCAGCACAGCTGCACTGTGTGGCGCTCCCATCCCATGGGGCACTAGCATGTCCTAGCTTGGTCCACAGGGTCCCGTAATAGTAGACGCCATGTTGGTCTCTGATGATGGGTGGCTGCACATGTCACGATGCCCAATGTGTGATTGCCCTTGGATTAAGAAACCATAAAGGAAAAAAAAACTACATAAAGGACCAAGTAAAGAATTCCCTGGGTTGGGAAGGTGGCTCAGTGGTAGAGTGCTTGCCTTGTATGCATAAGGCCCTGGGTTCAATTCCTCAGCACCACATAAGCAGAAAAAGCTGGAAGTGGCGCTGTGGCTCAATTGGTAGAGCACTGAGGGAAAGCACCCAGGCCCAGAGGTCAGGCCCCACAACCAACAAAAAAAAAAAAAAAAAAAAAAGAATTCCCTGTTCCTACCAGGTACAGTGGCTCAAGCCTGTAATCTTAGCCACTGAGGAGGTGAAGAGAGAAGATGACAGTTTAAGGCCAGCCCTGCCCCCCAAAATATTTCACAAAAATCCCCATCTAAAATTAAAAGCCAGGTGCAATGGTTCATACCTACCATGCCAAATACATGGGAAGCATAACTACTATTGTGGTCCAGTCCTTAAAAAGTAATGCAAGCAAGCCTCGCATCAATAGCTCACGCCTGTAATCCTAGCTACTCAGGAGGCTGAGATCTGAGGATTGTGGTTCAAAGCCAGCCAGGGCAGGAAAGTCTGTGAGACTCCTATCTCCAATAAAACACCAGAAAACTGGAAGTGGTGCTGTGGCTCAAGTGGTAGAGCGCTCGCCTTGAGCTGAAGAAGAGCTGAGGGACAGCACCCAGGCCCAGAGATCAAGCCCCACAGCCAAAAAAAAGTAACACAAACAAAAGGGCTCCAGACCTAGCTCAAGTAGACTGCCTGCCTAGCAAGCACAAAGCCTTAAGCTCAAACCTCAATTTAAACTGCCAATTTAAAAAAAAATTAAGAATGCAAAAAGAATTCCCTGCTCCAAAAGCTTGAGTGAATAAGCAAAACGCTGTGCTGGGTGGCCTAAAATTACCAATGATTATAAGAGGAGCCACAATTAGCTGAGCTATCTGCAACACTGCAGGCAGAAAGGACCAGGTGTGGGATGACACGGACAGCTCAGACACTTCCCCCAAGAAAAGCCCTGGTAAGAGGCTGGATGCCAGCAAGCAGACAAAACTGAGATGACGCTATGTCGAAAAACGAACAAT